GGTTACTGTGGGCCTGAAATTCTCGATTGGAACAATCCAGTTGTCTGCAGCTGCTGGCTGCTGTTATGTGTTCTAACCCACTGAGATATACATCTGTGTATACGTTCATTACTGTCTAGTAGAACGCGCCCTGACGCGGAGGCAGCAGCGGACCCGTCGTCGTTCATAACCGAAATCCGCATTTCGCCAGATCACAATCGGTCTTCGGGAACTGTCGGTTGTAAACTAGGAACGACCAGTAGCAGCAACTGCATAGGCGTGATTTCACCGTCACTACTTTTGAGCTCCAATTGCTACATACCTAATGGCTCTATCCGCAAAATCCGCTTTCACTCGTGTCACTAATGCGGTATTTAAGTAGATTTACTTTATTTTTGACATCGTTGAGCATAGTATGTCATGTTTAATTTTCCAGAGTACCTCAGGCTTGTAGTAGAGGTGCGTACGTTGCCTGCCTGAGCAATTTAGATATTAGATTGAGATTATCTTCTAAGCAATGAGATACACGCCTCTCTCTCTGGAACTCTCAGATTAACCCATGCAACATGTGGGCGACGTTTAAATTCCCCGCTTCATCGTTTCGAAAATCCAAGAAGCTTATGAAGTTTACTCCTTCTTAGGCCATCGTAGAATCCCATTGGTTCACGCTATATCTTCTTCTACCCTTCTGTTCATTCTCCTCGTTATGTAACCTCTCTTCCTATCATCATTGAACGTGAACTTCGAAAAAATCCTGCCCTTCACTCAAAATCGCTCATATTTTGCTTATTTGAGAAAATATTTGGTCCTCAATGATCCATAGATAGCTCACTTTGAAAGAGTAGATTTTATGATAAGAAAAAATTGAGTTGAGAATAGTTGTTCTGATCCTCTGCGAATTCCTTTGCCTTGAATTTAATACTTGGAATTTTCGTTGCGGAATCCTGATGAGAAGGGAGTGCAAAGCGTTTGAAGTAGCTTACAACGAATTGCAGAAGATTCCTGGGAGCCAGTTTCTTTTAGAACACCTCTTTGGCCGTGGGCGCTTCCGCCCATAAAAAGGTCTCCCGTCTATATGAAAAATCGGATCACTCGCAAACCGCAGAGATTCCTCTACCGGAAAACCGTGGGGTAGAACTACGAACTTCAGGAAAGGAGAATTTCCGCGAACAGTCCCCAACATAAACATGTGACTCACTTTTTTGTTAGCCGCAATTATTAAATTTTTTCTTATGGCTGTCTGCAGAAGAAATTGGAAGAGTTCCAACTTTTGGTTTCTCCCCTCCAATCATCCATGTTGCCTACAGTTATGATAATTTTTGAAAAAATAACTTGCAGTAAAATCGTGAAATCGTTACTCGTTGCTCAGTCTTTCGCGTATTACCCTTAAGCGGAGTTTGAGCAATCGGTACTAGTCGTAACTTTTTATCTTGAGATACTAGAAACCTCCCTTCAACATTCCCCCCATTGGAGTATTCGATCTCTTCTCCAAGGTCTAGGTACGAGCTCGCAGTGATGACTATTGCTCATGGCGCAGGGTGGACGTCATGGGCGGTCGACGGCCTTCTAACATTGAAATCATTCATTCAATTTTTCTTGTATTCCACTTTGAAGTGTCAGACGCTGTTTTCAAGCTAACTATCCCCTTCCTCTTCTTCCTCTACTTGTTCCCTTCTTAGTGTTTCCTGGCGTCTTGGCTTCTTTCTGGACGTTTTGAGTAGGTAAGGGATCATAAAGCTGTTAACTTCCATCCTTTCAACCTCACTTTCCTTTTTTAAATTCTATTTCATAGCTATTTTCAACATTCATGCAATTTGTCAAGGAGTTCATGTATGTATGAATGTGCTCGGTTTTATCTTGGCTGTTATGCTGAATTCATAACCTCTACCGTACCTAACCCCCCTTCTCAATGTCTTACTGTAGTACCTCTTTGTCGATGTGATGAACATGCGGCAGAGGTGGAGCGATGCGAATGAAACGCGCTCGATGCAAACGCTTTTGTTTGATCAAACGCGTAACAATGTCAGTTCCTCGGGGGGACGTGGAGTTCATGAGATGGGGCAGAGGGGGTAGGGTGGGTGGGTGTGTATGTATGCACGCAGGGTGGTTAGAGAGTAGGGAAACGATCGCGATCGAGGTGTATCATCAACGTATAGGTTTGGACAGTACACATCACCGCTCAATCGTCGATTCATGTAGCATAAAGCAGAGAACGGGCAGAGGGGCAAAGGTTTGGTGGCCCACCGAGCCTGAGCTAACACACTTCTGACTCTTTGCTAGTCATTTTACACACTATGCAAACATCATTCATGGATACTCATCTCGATAGAGATAGTGCCGATCAAAGTCATCAACGCCCGTCCACCTTCACCGTCACTAACCTTCTTCCTTCTAAGGTTTGACATTTTTTTCGAGTACAGTGAAAAATTAAGTAAAGTTGCAGAAAAACGAGAACATTTTAGGAACAGTTCCAAAGTTTTACAGGCCAGTAGTGTAAATCGAAGTTGTTGTCAACTAACTTGTTCAGGATGCGCCATGCTTTCTCCTCTTCTGAAAGTTTTCAAAGCATTGTCAGCCAACAAGATCTGGAATGCGCAGCTTGCCTGTGGTGGGGTAGACTGAAGACGGCCCATGGCTAACTCGTAACATAGACCTCCCAGACGAGGTTGGTGCTTACTAGAACTGGGGTGCTACTCTATCCCTCAATAGTCCAGGCTGTCAGAGCTGGTGGAAAGGCTTTTTACGAAGTTTCCTTCAAACGTAACTAACCTTCACCGGAAACGGTTTTACACGCCCACGCCCCTCTACATCATTGTTGTTGAATAGCTATGATAGGTGATTCTATCAACTGTACATGAAAATGATAGGCGTATCTTAAAGACACAGGGTACCGTATAAGCCATTAAGCTGTCAGCAATTGGCCATCATCCGTGGAGTGATGTCTGTTACAGAGTAGTCTTCTTGAGGAATAAACCAAGTGATGAAGATCCGTCATGCCTGATTGCTAGACCATGTCTGTGAAAGAGAGCCGATTACGCAGGTTGCAACATGAGATCTTTGGAATTCAGTTGTACAGGAAGCTATTTCCTTTACATCTCACCACCTTACGAAGGCACAGGCAGTGCTGTACCACTTGCCATTGCCAAGCTTAGGTAATCGCAATAGGCAATAGATATCTGCTCAAAACTCGCATAATGTAAACACTCAAATGCCAAGTTAAAGTAACCCAACTCAGCCGGCAGGCTGTTCCTTTTGCGCTGCTCGTACAACTTCTGCTGGTAGAATCACATTGAATTAGCCCTGTCGCATAAAAATGATAGGATCCATTTTGGTGATTTTTTATATTATGTAGCATTTTTTCAAGGAAAAAAGTCAGCGTCAAAAACTGAAAGGTGTATGTGTCAGCCACGTCTCGATGATCAACGAGCTTTGCTTCTGATGAATTTGCTCGGAAAAATTGGATAGAATCAACATCATAGAGTCTTAAGTTGCAAGGAGCTCGAGCGGGGTCTCCATGCATAACAATCAGTGTGAAAGCCATTCAGTTTCATTCCTCAACAGATTATTTAGTAAATAGTAAGATCCAACAGAGGCTGTCCATAAATTTTCTTTGAGCTGTTCATGCTAAGCGCATCTTATGCTAGAGCTCATCAACTCCACTTACTGCTTGCATACAGCCAACTACTAAGTAGTGTAGGCAAGTAAAGATACCAGGTTGTAGGCCTATAGCAAGGCTCATGACAGAATTAGTGGGATGGAAAAATATCCTTCTAGGTCAAGAGTTGCTCTTTTGGGGCGTTGGTCGGGTAAGACCTCCTCGATCACCTCCTGATGGTTCCATTCAAAAAATTGGTCCAATGTTTTTCAGTTCGAGGGTCAGATAGTTGAATACCCCACGATCCGAGTTGAAGAAGAAATCAAAAGAGAGAGTTATGCCATGATTCTTCATAGTCATAGGTTTACTGGGAAGTAGATAAGAAGGTGAAGCCTTCGTGATGATTCACTTTTACTGTTGAATAGCCTTGAAAGGGCTGGGTGACTCTTTCGGCCTTTGCCTTTTCCACCTTAGAGCAAGTACTTCATCACTGACTCTTCCATTTCGCCATTCAGTCCTTACCTTGTTTGTATTGCTTGTTACTTGCGACAGGTCTGATCTAACTGCTATTTCTGCAGGGGCTCTCTTCGTAAGGGGGCACTTCTTATGTGGAAGTATACGAAACGAGTTGCTCCCTTGGTAGCTGCTTCATGCTGATGTATCCGTAGCTTTCTAGGTGGAGCATACTCCTCGTGCCATCCTCATTTTCATAGTAAATCACTCAGATATTCTTATGATTTCTTACAATAAGCCGGAGATTACGTGGATGGAAGCAGTCGAGGCGCCGCTAATCCACCACCCATTGCTTTCTATTTGATGAATTCCCACTTCAACAAGTTATTCCTGAGCTTGTAACATTTTTTCGACGTCCTCTTTCGACAAAATTCTAACAACATCAAAGAGATTTTGGTTTTTCAATGAAAACGTTGGCTGTCCCCTTACTTAGAAGGGTTTAAAGCAGATGCCAAGCTCCAAGCCTTCGTTTCTTATGAAATTGTGTCCGATGGTCGCGTGTTGTGTGAAAGTTGACGAGAATCTTTGGGAAGGAGCCCAGAGATTGCTATATTGGATTATTTCTTGTTTATTTGGAAGCTGTGATCCTCTCATGTTCTGCTGTAATTATTTCTAGATTTGTTTACAGAAGTTCGATCAATAATAAACAAAAGATAGTAGCAACATGCTAGAAACATTCCCCACATACTATTTCCCATCTCTTCCCATACTTCTCAGAACTTACTGTTGGCCTTTGCTTGTTACCTCTTCTTATTGATTGTGCTGCATTTCCTGTTGTTTCACATTTTTCTTTGCCGACAAACACATGAAAAGCCTACCGTATCCGCGTCTCTCTGCTCAGTATAAATATACTACATTTCAGATTTATGGTACAATACACGAATCAATAAAGTAACAAAGAGGTCAACAGAGGATGAGTGCTGCTGCTACTGAAGGACCGCCTGAAGCGAAAAAATTCCGTATCGATCTGCCGACACAGGTGTGTTCTAGTGATTGATTCTTAAGATCAGCTGATTGTACTGGTTTTTTCAACTCAAACTGGGGCGAAATTGCTAGGAAATGTCTATTGTATTGGAACAGTTGATCAGCTGGCGATGCAGATTGAAATAGCTAGGGACAGAAGTTATGGGACGAGTTTCGGATGAAATTGGGAGTTTTCCTAGGGACCCTTGAAAAGACGTTTAGCGGTTCTTACAATAATGAGGACTCTGCTGGTCTGCTTAAGATTGTCCATATTTCTTTCTATGGGGACAGTATGGCAGTACGAACATAAAATGCCCGGGACCCTCTCGAGCAGTTGGGTTCGGGTTATCATGCTGTCCTCACCCTGCCAACAGGCCAGGGAACGAATATATACCTTCTGGAACAGACTTCCATCTCGAAATTTTTTGGATGCTGAAAATGAATAGTGCTGGCTTTTCAGTTATTCTCCGTTGCCTGTTCTGGGTGGTTTGTGAAACGAATAAACATCGTATTAGATAGGTAGAATGAATAGCTTTTGCATGTGATGATACGTGGGAAAATCACGCCCGTATGCGATTAGCCAAGTGTCTTGACGTGAAAAAGTGTTCAGGTGAAGAGGCAGTTTGTGGTGGGAAAAAAGCACCACCACCAGCCATCATGGCACGCGCGCTCGACGGGCACGATGCTTCCGATGATACATCATCATCTCATGAAGTATCCAGTATAACAGGGAAAGAACAAAGGGACTGTGGCTTGAATCCTTCTTATCTTAAGTGACTGGTACATAGTCTCACTACCCTTGGCATCCGTTGGCTGAACGCCCATCGGTAAATTCGTAATTTCGAGCACGAAGTGCTGTTGGGTTACCTCTATGGTAAACGCAAATAAAACTAGGATGAAACGTGAACGGACGCGGCGCGATTGGTATAACTCGATCAACTCGATCAATACTTTTGTGGTTAAAATGTAGTTGGGGCGGGGTCAAAATAAAGTGTTAATGTAACAAGTAGTTAAGACGGTCCTAGATGTAAATCCGTGTTATACTATTAGTAATGTATCGAAGACGAAAAGAAGGATGATCATCGGTCATCTGTGTGCTCTAATGCGGTTTTAGCCAGAGTGGTGTGGTTTTTTCGGGGTGGACGAGATGATTAGCTCGCGCGAAAAGCTGGAGACTCCCGTGAAAACCCTTGCTCCATGCTTCTTCCCTCCTTAGGCTTAGTTCAAAAAAATAACTCCCCTTCTACCTACCACGTTTTCACCCTTTGTGGATACGAAAATTTGGAGCCGACGGAATTGAGGAGTCCTGAATCGAGTATTCTTGGAGTATTAGCTAAGTGGAAGTCATCTATCTCTCAGTTAATGTGGTACCTTATGAATCGACCGGAGCTTTTCCTGGTTGTTTAGAGTAGCTGTCTCTTTCCTCGCCCTTTGGAAATTATCCCTTACCCACGATCTGGCCAAGATAGAACTTCTTTTTCAGCATCCTAGTATTTTCTCCTGCTCCTCAGCGAGTATAGTGGTGGTCTGTAGAGCGGGGAGCGGCTAGAAAAACAAATATCTCTAGATTATGGTGAATCTGAGCCAGTCCATTTTCATCACCTTACCTACTAGCCAGTACCGGGCCAAGGATTAGGATCAACTCATTCGAGAGACCGGCACATGACATCTGATTAACTGTAGTTGCTTGTGAATTTCCATTCTTGTATGAATATGCTTGGTCATTGACAACATGCACTTTTAGTAGGCTTAGGTGGCAAGGGAAACCGTGTTTCTAAGGAGACACAAGTGTTCAGTTACTGAATTCTTTCACCCTCGGTCATAGCTTTCTGACCTTCACACCGACTTCCAAAAACTGCTCAGCTCAACTGAACAAATGCGATTTGTGCGAAATACGGTTCGGGCACATTTCTAGACTTCTTCTCGGAACTTCAGAAAGTGACAGAGTCCGGCTTCAGACACAACAGATAGCTGCGGTCAACTGAATGACACTTGCCGGGTGTCTGGAAATGCTTGAAAACGCTGTTTGTCTTGGTTATTGTTTAGGTTATACTTCTATGTTCAGGTGGTCGTCGAACCATCGTTGTGCTCGTCAGAATCACCCGATGGGCCAGCCGCAGCTGATGGGCAATCGCCGGCAGGGCCAAGCTCTGCTCGTTCCACTAATGGATCCGAGGTCCGTTCCACTTTTTTTCACATAATACCGAGCATATTTTTCACGAGAAAGCATATTATCAAAAAAATGAGTGACAATAACTTTAGATTTCGTCTGGATCGTCAGTGGAAAAAGACGATGAACCAGAGCCAGGTATGACCGGTAATATACTGGAAATGATAAGTAAAAGTCTCCTTGGAAATGCATTTAAGGTTAGTCTGCTCGTTATTATTACGATGTACTACTATAACATATTACTACAAAATAGACTATAAAAAATTGATATTATTTGAGAGGGAAGCAAGTTCATCATCGGAGGAAATCTGGTGGCAACAGATTAACCGAGCCAGTAGGGATGGAAGGCATCGTTAGCTTGGACGGGTGCTGAGCTGGGATTCGATTCCGGGATTATGCCCGTAGTAGAGCGCCTCATTTAGCCAAACTCTTCAAGGAAATCTCTATATGTATCCTTCGAGAATGCTGGAGTATTAAGGCGATAAAAAATAGATAACTGTTTTTCTTTTTGTTCCAAACCACAGCCATGCGATCTACAACATTGGTTCGCCCAGGTATCCAGGGCTAACTATTACCCTGAATCACCTAGCTGATGGCCTAGAAATTGATTTCATTTTGACGGGCTTTTCCTCTGGATTCTCTGCAATTATAATAGTACAGGCTGTGCTGAATGTGATTGTTAAGTTCGTCGAATTGTGTCATGCGGGGTTGTTGACTCACCTGCCACGACTCACATGTTGTAAAGAGTGTTCATCGGGGAATGGTTGGGGGCAATCACATGAGAACCTCATCCACCGTAATACCATGACAGAACAATCGTTTTTTGGGTTGTGAGAGATCCTCTGCTGATTTTGGAATACGTCCATGGTTCTAGCAGAGTGGATCAAGTGCCGGTTGCACAACAAGAATAACAAGGTCACACTCACTACTTGATATTTTGCAGCACTACGGTGCAAGGTAAAAGAAAGGTACCACAGAACTACGATCTTCCTTGCAGTCGAATCCTAAAATCGATATGAATTTAAATGAGTATTCGCTTCACCGAGGCCACCTCCACCACAAAAGGTATGCTTCCTTGGGGCTGGGTTCAACGCAAAAGGAATGTGGTGATCGAATAGATTGCTTCCTTGGGGCCAGGTTTGAGACGCACTTCACGAAAAAATGGTTCTGAGATTCCTTCCTAGGATGAGCCTGTGACCTCCAAGGATAACGCAAGGAAACTGTCGGATCAAAAAATGCCCTAAGAAGGGCGTAATAAGGGCCCTAAATTGGCATGGCCGACGCACACATCCAAGGCGGACGAGTTCTCACGAGGTAGAGATTACAGAGGTTGCACCATTCGCACCAGCATGCTGCACGCAAGCAGCTTACTATGACCAGCTGTACGCAGTGGCACCCACATTTGGAGAGGTCGACGGAATTCCCTTCCATGCAACTTTTGTCATCGTGATCCACGGTCGGTAGAGTGGGTTGTGTTGTGCTTTTTTATAAGCTTTCGCTCCTGAAGACAGACACTGGAGCGACAGTTATTGGTCATCAGACCGGCAGTGGGATGAATGGTGTTGTGGCACTAATCTCTGGCATACTTAGAAAGAATCAAGCTCAGCGGTCAGAAATGAACCGATCCTAAGAATGAGTTGACTGCGAGTTGTCCACTTGTGGACGAATGCTCTGCAAGTGCTTTTTTGACAAGAGATCATCGAGCGGCATTAGAGCTGTAGAGGGATCAAGGCGAAAACGAAGTCACCATGTTTATCAGTTATGGTATCCGAGAATTATGAGAAACCACACATGGAATATAAGCATCGGCTCAAGCCTTCAATTACTGCAATGCATTTTCATGGCTGGTAAACATAAGGATTTTTGGCAAGTGATTCAACAAGAATCTTCACTTCATCGAATTGTCAGAGCAGAAGCTCGGTTGTACTTGAGCGCATGGTTTCTAGAA